TTATTAAATAGATATTATTAGTTTTTAGTTTTTTTTTTTACTTTAATTTATATTTTATTTAAGTAAAATATTGTGAATTATTTATTTATATATTATATTTTGGGTTAAATATATTTTTACTTTTTTTAATATATCTACTTTCATTATTAGTCCCTCTATAAATTTTCTCTTTTCAATTTTAATCCATTCTTTTTATAAAAGTTCACGTTGCATGTTCCAACCGACCAGTGTTTTAAAAACCGGACCGGTCATTGAACCGGTGAGGGTACTGGGTCACTGGTTTATCGGTTGAACCACTGGGTCACTGGTCGAACCGCATGACTAAATCGGATTAAACCGGATAACTCGGTTGAATAGACCTGTCATTATATAGATATAAAACCGGTCGAACCGGATGATTCAGTTTCTAAACAAATATAACTAGTACTTAAATTTTTTGAAAATATCATATCATAAATTCACAAGTTCATAATTTAAATTTAAATTTTAAACAAATATATCACACATAACAAAATAATACAAAATTACAAAATAATTGCAACATAATCTAATTTTAAACAATTTTTTTTTAATTTTTATAACTTTTGTATTTAAATTTTAATTAAAAAATAAAAAATGCATTAGAACCGGTCCAACCTTAAACCCGGTTTTTCCTGGTCCAACCCGGTTTTTTCCGGTTTTTACCGGTTTGATGAGACAGACGATCGAACTAGTAAACCAGACCGGTTACTAGGCCGGTTCCCGGTCCAACCGGTCCGACCGGCCGGTCCGGTCCGATTTTTAAAACACTGCAACCGACTTCTCTTTTATGGATTGTCATTGATAAGATCTTAAAATATCATTAGTTTAAATATTTAACTGTTTAATCTTTAACTTTTATTAACTTACATGTATTTTCAGCTCATTCACACATTACTTTATCATGAAACATCAAAGTGTTAAATTGAACTACATGTAAAAAAAACTATTATTTGTCAAACCACAATTAACATTTAATCTAGACAAAACATTAAATCTCTCTTTATCAAAATAAGAACACTTAGAAATTAATTATTGTAACGATTCAACCACATCACAACCTTCACTCAAAAAAAGAGAATTAAAATTAATAATCTCACTGATAAAAAAATGGTATATCCTCAAAACATACCAGTGTTGCAAATAGGTCAAAAATATTCCATTGCAGGGAAAATTTTCATGCAAAATATATAACATTATCTTTTTACTCTGCAATGATTTGAAATAGTTAACAATCCTCAAAAACAACGAGAAATTAATCAATCTTATGTTTTCTGTTTTTTTACCTAAAATTTCAAAGATATATAGATGACAAAGAAAATGTCATTATTAAAAATTAAAAAATATTGTTAATTTTTTTATGAATGATTTATTCCTAATCTAATTAGCATATAATTATCAAAATTAAAATGGACTTGCCTCTATATTCTTTTAAATAGATTAGTCACTGGTTAAGAAATTGATAAAATGACCCTCTCTATCTCTAAAAAAACTCCATATTTGATTTTTCAAATTATCCATTTGAATGTTAATTATGGTGGAAACAAAAAAAGTTATACCTTCAAAAAAAATTCTCAAGTTTAACTAAATATTGGATACATTAAAATTACAGACAGTTTTGTTCAAACTACAAAACAAAATACATAATAAGTTTGATAATTCATAAACTGATTTAAATGAAAATTCTAAAGAAAAACTAATTGTTCAAGTCTCCATATCACTTGTTAGCCTTCTTACCCTTTCTAACTTGTTTATCTGAAAACAAAATATAAGGAGTGAGACAATCACTTCATCTCAGCGAGTTCCTGTTAACCTAAGACATAGTGGTAACCTAATTTATAATTATTTTTCATAATTTTCATCAGTTGATTGATCTAAACATAATTCTTAAGGTTCTCCTTGAATGTCATAACATAATAATGAGTGTATTCATTATTTCTGATGAGAAATTAAGACATGATAATAGATCAATACGCAGCGGATATAAAATTTCCCAAAACTTGTAGGAATCTTGAGGATCAAAAATAAATATAAGACGACAAATCGAACAAATAAAGGCACAAAAGAACACTGATATTTTTAACGTGAAAAACCACGAATCATCCAGACCAAAGATATAATTTCACTATAATTAGTTAAGGGTACAAGTGAGTCTTAAAGTGATTCACAAACTAGTGCAAACAACCGCAAATCACAAAGCAAACTAGCTTACAAATAAGAATTAAAAGGATGAAAAGTTTCTCAAATTTGCTGCTTCAGTGCGAAGCAAATAACTTTCACCTCAGACGTTGTATTAAAAATCGAAACGGCCAAAAGTTAGATATATGTGTTACAAACCTGCCCACCAAATTTGAGCTCGATCCAACGTATAACGAACCAGAGATCATCTATTTAGTGAAACTGGTTGCAGAAAAAAGGGAATGAGTTTCTCTCCTTTTGAATCTTTATTATTTTTCTCTATCTCTCCCAATTCTAAATTGATTATTTCCACTTAAATAAGTGATAATAACGGGCTAATCATATTTTGGTATTTCTCCACATAGGAAGAGAGCACAACCCAACAAATCTCCCCCTCACAACTATGTGGAGGAAATCGCCAAATCGGCGATATCACAACAAGTTCAAATTTTCCTCTTGGTGATGCTTTAGTCATCATATCATAACCATTATCATCTGTATGAACTTTAGCTAACTCCAACATTTTAGCATCAAACACTTCATGTATCCAATGATATCTCACATCAATGTGTTTGGACCTGTTATGAAAAGTCGGATTCTTATCAAGATGAATAGCGTTTTGACTATCAACAAATAACACATATTTATCTTGAACAAAACCAAGCTCCTATAAAAATTTCTTCAACCATAGTAAGTCTTTGCATGCTTCGGTAATTTTAATGAACTCAGCCTCTGTAGTAGATAGCGCTACACACTTTTACAATCTGGGCTGCCAAGCAACAACCCCCCCTGCAAATTTAGTCATGTAGCCCGAAGTGGACTTTCTGAAATCAACGTCTCCATCCATACCAGAGACAGAGTACCCAACTAGAGTAGACTTATATCCTCCAAAACAAATTCTCATAGAATTAGTACCACGAAGATACCTTAAAATCCATTTTGCAACATTCCAATGCTTTCTTCCTAGATTTGAAAAAAATCTACTGACTGTACCAACAGCATGTGCTATATTCGGTCTTGTACACACCATTGCGTACATCAAACTACCCACAGCAGAAACTCTTGAATTCCCTATCTCTAATGCTTTCTTCATCAGCCTAGTTAGGCCTTCTATGACAAACACAAACAAAAAAGGGGATAGAGGATCCCCTTGCGTCAACTTTCTCTCAACCTAGAAATATCTAGTTGAACTCCCATTGACAATAAAAAACAATGAGCTATTGAATATGCATGCCTCCATCCATTGTTTCCATTTCTCTCCAAACGCCATTCTATTGAGCAAAAACTCGTGTAGTTCAAGTTCACACCATAACACGCCTTCTTGTAATCTACCTTCACCATAAGACACACCCTTATGTCCCTTTTAGCCAAGAATAAGACCTCATAGACAACCAGGACTCCAACCAAAATATTCTTCCCTGCAGTGAATATTGTTTGCTTGTTGGAAATTAACCTTTCGACCACTGTCCTTAACCTGTGAGCCAGGATTTTTTATAAACTCTTGTATAGGCACCCCACCATGCATATGGGCCTGTACCCAGATAAAGCTTGAGGATTTTTAACTTTAGGTATTAGAGCTATGAAAGATGTTGTGCATGATTTAGTGAGTTTGGCATTTGACTGAAAATCTCTTAAAAATATGACAATATATTATTTAATCATCTCTCGGCTAAACTTCAAAAATTCAAAGCTAAAGTCGTTTTGGACTGGGCTTTTACTGCCATCATAGCTCCACACTTCTTCTTTTATCTCTATCTCATTAAAAGGAGCTTCAAGCTGACATTTATCTAACTCAAATAATGTCTCAAAAGTAAAACCTCCTAGAATATATCTACTCTGATTATCTTCCAAGAAGAAGCTCTCAAAGTGTCTCCTTACTTCCTTTTTTATCTCCTTCACACCTTCTATTCTACCTGGTTGAGTTCTAGCAAAACTAGGTTATTTCTTCTAACCCTATCCTTCATTACTTCGTGAAAGAATCTGGTGTTGTGATCTCCATCCTTAAGTCACACTTGCCTAGATTTTTGTCTAAGCATCCTCTCCTTGTAGATCAAACTCTTCCAAAACTCTTGTTTTTGAAAGGTTTCATTGAACGTAATTAATCTATTCTAACTAAAGCATGTGAATACCAGTAGAAATAACCATACTTTTTTCTTCTATTTTTAAGGCTTTGTATGTTTTGTGTATTACATAGACTCTTAAAATTTTGCACTTAATTGAAAGACGTCTTAGTCGGTTGATGAAAGTGATTGTTTATAAACTTACTTAAGTTTTGATTTTCAATTTCAAACATGAGATTCTTTTTTATGTAAAAATATTATAGCTCACCAATCTAAACTAAAGAGCTATAGTATAAATAGGGTTCAATCAATGTACTTTCATAAGCAAAAGAGTATAAACACATTAGTTTTATTTTAAAAAATGTATCAACCTTATCAATCATAATGACTTTTACGGGACATAATATTATATATGCTTTTGCACAAAAAAAAATATTAAATCAATAAATATAACAACCAAAAAAGTGAACAATCCAACACCATAAAAGTTTATTGATAATAGTATCCAATACTAAATTATATAATGTTAATTTTTATACATTTAATTAAAATTAAATAAATTTGAATTTGAATTAATTTTGCAAGAGGAATCAATAGTCGACATACCCTTCTTTTAAATGGATATCAAATTAAGAACTCTCCAATAAATAAATAGTACATATTTTAACTTATCAAAAACAACAAAAATTTTACTTCACGATATATATATTTAGTCACAAGATGCATCATAACTGCATGCAATTTCTAATATTCATCTTGGCGATCGGTTAAACGGTTGTGGCATTCATAAGGAAGACCGCGAGAAAAACGTATAAAATCACGACAATAGTCACAAACAATCAATTTTGAATAAATCTCTTTGAGCTTCTTCCTTGTTTCATCACTAAGACCTTTATTTTCGCCACCATTGAAACCTAAGAAATTATTTGATGGAATAGGAATGCATGCATTGGCATTGAAGTTTCTAAATCCAGCCGTGAATGGAGCCTTTGACCAATCGATTTTCACTTGTTCCCCTCTTGTTGCCCATGAATCTCCATTCCATAGTGTTGTGTATAATTTCATTGGTTGCCTTGTTGGGAATGCAACACCAACGTTTTCTCTATTATGTATCACTCTTATGGGTATGTTATCCACCAATATTCTGCTTAGATGCCAAACACATGATATAGTTATATGTATATATACATTGTTTGTCTCATAAATAGAGTTATAATTTTTTCATTGTTTTAGAAAGAATTTTTGTTAAGGAGTGAGACAATCACTTCATCTCAACGAGTTCCTGTTATCCTAAGACATAGTGGGAACCTAATTTATAATTACTTTTTATAATTTCCATCAGTTGATTGATCTAAACATAATTCTTAAGGATCCCCTTGAATGTCATGACATAATAATGAATGTATTCATTATTTCTAATGAGAAATTAAGACGCAATAATAGATCAATACGCAGCGGATATAAAATTTTCTAAAACTTGTAGAAATCTTGAGGATCAAAAATAAATATAAGACGACAAATCGAACAAATAAAGGTACAAAAGAACACCGTTATTTTTAACGTGGAAAACCCCTCAATATGAGAGTAAAACCCACGAGTCATCCATACCAAAGAAATAACTTCACTATAATATGTTAAGGGTATAAGCGAGTCTTAAAGTGATTCACAAACTAGTGCAAACAACCACAAATCACAAAGCAAACTAGCTTACAAATAAGAATTAAAAGGCTGAAAAGTTTCTCAAATTTACAGCTTCCGTGCGAAGAAAATAATTTTCACATCAGATGTTGTATTAAAAATAGGAACGGCCAAAAGCTAGATATATGTTTACGAACCTGTCCATCAAATTTGAGCTCGATCCAACGGTTAACAAATCGGAGATCGTCTATTTAGTGACACTAGTTGCAGAAAAATGGGAATGAGTTTCTCTCTTCTTTTCTCTCCATTCGAATCTTTATTTTTTTTCTCTATCTCTCTCAATTCTAAATTGATCATCTCCACTTAAGTAAGTGATAATAATGGGTTAATCATATATGAGTCTTTCTCCACATATGAAAAGAGTTCAAACCCAACAAATCTCCCCCTCACAACTATGTGGAGGAAATCGCCAAACCGGTGATATCACAACAAGCTTCAAATTTTTCTCTTGGTAATGATTTAGTCATCATATCATAACTATTATCATCTGTATGAACTTTATCTAACTCCAACATCTTAGAATCCAAAACATCATGTATCCAATGATATCTCACATCAATGTGTTTGGACCTGTTATGAAAAGTCGGATTATTATCAAGATGAATAGCGTTTTGACTATCAACAATAACACATATTTATCTTGAACAAAACCAAGCTCCTGCAAAAATTTCTTCAACCATAGTAACTCTTTGCATGCTTCGGTAATTGCAATGAACTCAGCCTCTGTAGTATATAATGCTACACACTTTTACAATCTGGGCTGCCAAGCAACAGCTCCCCCAGCAAATTTAATCATGTAGCTCGAAGTTTACTTTCTGGAATCAACGTCTCCAGCCATATCAGAGTCAGAGTACCCAACTAGAGTAGGCTTATCTCCTCCAAAGCAAAGTCTCATAGAATTAGTACCACGTGTGGAGGCAAATCGCCACACATCACACAAGTCTGCAAGATATTGGTCAATACAGGTTTCAATGATGACAAATTACAGCCTTGGATAGATTGGAAATTATAAACTCCAGATCTACTAAACAGATGCAACGTATCACCTACCATATCCTTTTATACTTGTCTTAAAACTGCTGTAATAAATATAGTATGTGTAGATAAAATGCAATCATGACCAGAGGCATGAAAGACCACAAACTGATGAATTTTTGCAGGTTTGCAGGGCATGACTCGACCATAGGGTCGGCGCATGCATCAGAGCACTTCTCCACTGGTCAGCGCACAAGGCAATGAGTCGACCATAGGGTCGGCGCATGAGGGAAAAATTTTCCAACGGGTCAGCGCATAAAGGCATGAGTCGACCATAGGGTCGGCGCATAAGGGAAATAGTTTTCAACGGGTCAGCGCACGCCGACTGTATGGTCGATGCATACTGATGAATTTTCCAGATTTCTAAACAACACAGGCCATGCGTCGACACACAGACCTGCTGCGATCGACGGTTCGCGCGGAAATTCTGTTTTTAAATGATTTCCTCTTATATTTGAAATATTGTTATGTCTAAAATTGGGTTGGTACTATATATACTTGTTTAACCACTTGTGCCATTTTAAAAACATTTGATAATCTTTTGATTCATGTGTTCAAAAACAAGAAAGAGTGAAATAGGTGTCCAAGATTCATCATATTCATCTTCAACATCTCACAACATTTCAATTACACACAATCATTTTTGAAATGCATTTGTGAGAGGTTCAAGGTGATAAGGTTCGAAGCTTAGATTGGAGAATCAAGTTCGGGTTGAAGCTTGTGACAGGTTCTTTCTTGAATAAAACCGTTAGGGTTTTAGCCTCCAAGATTGGTTGGAATTTTGGGGGTTTTTGGACGAGATTCTTCATCAAGGGTCAACTGAGCGAAGGTGATTGTGAAGAGGTGTTCTTCACAAGTCTAGTAGCGGATTCAGTGATATTGAAGGGAAGATCTCAGGTTCGACTTGTTGTTGTTGAGATCAGCCGGAGCCGAAGGTTTGAACAACAACGTGTTATTCAATAAGGTGGCTGGAATCGGAGGTCCATCAACACAAATTGGAGGACTTGATTCATCTTGAATCAAGGGGCAAGGAGTGAAAGCAACTTTCAACACATTGAGATTTCTGTTGTATATTTGTTGCTCAATCCTTGTATAAACTGTTACATTCAACAGGTGATATCTATAAAATCTATCTCAATTCTAGTTTTAGAATTGAGGGCAGACGTACCCCGAAGCGAGGACGACGGGGGAACTGCCTCACCAAATACTTGTCTTCTCTATTTTTCAGCATTTACGTTACAGCTCAAAATAAGTAATTTTTGTATAAGCACTATTGTCAAAGTTGTGATATCAACTGAGTAAGAGGTTAAAACTCTGTTTTTGACTCCAAAGTACAATAAGACATTGTACTAGGCTAGTTGGAATCACTTACTCAACATAAATATCACTTGGAGTGTTTTGCACACCAAGTGTTTGACAAATTGCTTGAACCAAAATTATCTTACTTGTGTATCTAGTTTTGGTTTGCTCTTTGAATCATTGGAACTAGGAATCCTAACAACTGAAGTAGATAATTGATAAGTGTGATTAGTGTAGTGATTCTATTTTCCAAATTGTCATTAATCCAAAGGCTTACGCATATCCGGTTTTCCAATAACCGTTCGTTTTAGACTATATTTTCCTCGGCCGCTTCCGCACTTAAAACAATTTTTAATTGGTAGCGCCGACTCAAATTTTAATTGGGGATCTATTCAACCCCCCCCCCCCCTTCTAGATCCGTGCCATAGTATAACAAGTGGTATCTAGAGCTCCGGTTATTCGGTGCTTCAAATACAACGTAGATAGAAAATGGCTAACGAACCAAAAGGGGCGTACAATAGAGCTCCTGTTTTCAACGGTGAAAATTATAGTTATTGGAAAGACTATATGCGGGTGCATATAAACTCCATAGACAGAAAAATATGGAACATTATCCTCAATGGTCCAATAGAAATTACTATGACCAATGCGGATAACGTAGTTGTGCCAAAGCCCGAAGCACAATGAACCGATGACGATGAGAAAAAATACAATTATGATTGGAAAGCCAAAAATATCTTAATCTCCTCATTAGGTGTAGATGAATACTATCGTGTATCCCATTGTCCTACTGCTAAGGCCATGTGGGATTCACTACAAATAGCCCATGAGGGGACAAACGATGTTAAGTTGGCTAGAATCAACACATTAACACAAGAGTTTGATCTCTTTTTCATGGAGCAAGGGGAAATCATTGCTGACATGCAAAAGAGATTTACTCATCTCATCAATCGTTTACATTCATTAGGTAGGCCTGTTTCCAATGATGTTGCTACTAATAAAATCTTAAGATGTCTTAACAGGGAATGGCAGCCTAAAGTGACCGCCATCAAAGAAGCACATGATCTTACCTTATTAATGAGCTTCCTCCATATCCCATACCCATAAAAATGCATTCACAATCCTCTGATGATCTACCATTGACCTCCAAGTTAGGAGATAATCCACATACACCCATCAACTCTCTCAAAGAGCACTGACCACCTCTTGATGACTTTGATGAGCATTCAATCTTGAGTAGACCTCTTGATTAGGCTCAAAACCCTTGGAAAACCTTCTCTTTATAAGCACACCTCTCTTGATCCCCTGCTAAATGAACAATGTTATGCAATGCAATATGCTAGAACATGAAATGAAACAAAAGCCAAGTAAAGAAAATGTTGGGCAAATTTTGGGGTACAACACCCATATTGATGTGTTGGTTGATAACACCGCTCAATATTCTGTGTTTTCCTTCATGGATGGCTTCTCTGGGTATAACCAAATCAAGATGGCCCCAGAGGACATGGAGAAAACTACTTTCATTACACCATAGGGGACTTTTTGCTATAAGGTAATGCCTTTTGGATTGAAAAATGCAGGGGCAACTTATCAGCGGGCAATAATGAATTTCTTTCATGATATGATTCATCATGAGATTGAAATCTATGTTGATGGCATGATTGCAAAGTCACAGACGGAGGAAGGACATCTGGTCAATCTGCTGAAATTATTTGAAAGGTTAAGGAAGTTCAAGCTGAGGCTGAATCCTAACAAGTGCACCGTCGGGGTGAGATCTGGAAAGTTACTGGGTTTCATTGCCAGTGAAAAGGGTATTAAGGTAGATCCTGCCAAAATAAGATTTATACAAGATATGCCTGAGCCGAGAATGGAAAAAGAGGTTCGTGGTTTCCTGGGGAGATTGAACTACATCGTAAGGTTCATATCTCATCTTACAGGCACATGTGAACCAATATTCAAATTGCTAAGAAAAGATCAAACGGTCAGGTGGAATGAAAATTGCTAAAAGGCGTTTGGAAGAATAAAAGAATATC